CAGGCGTCGGTATTTGAAACTGCAATTTTGGTAATGTGCAACTTACACAAGGATTACGTAGTTTTAGCATATATATAGCGATAGCCCCGAGTACAGTCCTGTAGGTTGGCCTCCTTCCGCTGTTCATTCGGTTCCCACAGTCCTGAAAAGTCGCATAGACCGATGATTCGACACCCGCCTACAAATTTATGGCTCTCTGCAGTTTTCTTTATTTTAACCAGCTAAAACATCTATCTAGCGACCACAAATACCTTTTTTTGGCCGAAAAATGAACCTACAGTACTGGAACTAGTTTTACGCCAAGAACAAGATGGTGGCGTATGTTTTCGGTTGACATTGAAAATTGTCGATTTTATCGACCCTGGTGGGAAATCTTATGTAATTTTGCTTCCAGTTAAGGTATTTAGAATAGTTAGACGTATCGACCTGTTTATTTTTAACTGCAAAGCTGAATGCCTCTTAAATCGCCCAATACATTAGTGGTGGTGCGAGTTGGCATTGGTGCGAGTTAGCATTGGTCCGAGTTGGTCTGGTGCGAGTTGGTTTTGGTGCGAGTTGACCTGTGACCAGTTCACTGACCCCTACTGTGGTTAATGGTACCCAGGTTTTTTTCTAAAAAAAAACTGCAAGAGGGAACACTGCAATTGAGTGGCGCCACCAAGTTAAAATGGAGCATTCTATGGCTTCCTTGGGGCCAAAATTACTATCAGACAGGTCACAGCTGTAGACTGTGGCCACATGTGATCCCTGGTCAATCAGAATTTTAATGGTTGCCAGTGGATCTGCTCCCCAGAGTAAGAGGGCGCTGCACTTCTGTTTCCTTGTTCAAAAAAAATCCTGGTATCATAGAAATGAATCTCCCCTTCCTTACTGAGTACTTTGTGTATACAATCATAATTACAGCAGTTAACTTGGGATTAGTATAGAAAGTTTCTAAAATCAGAATCTGAATCGATAGATACACTGATAGATATATATTTTATTTAACACAAAATTTTGTGTGAACGAAAACATACCATAAATCAGTGGTCAAGAAAACTATTCTCAACAAACATACAAAAACAAAAAAAATACATTTACTGTAAAATACTTAATTTTCTCTTGGATTTAATTTTTGCTGAAGTAATGATTTTTTCTTTATTTCACATTCAACTTGTGAAAATTCAGTGAGATAAATTCCATACAAAACACCCAAATAGTTTTTTCAGCGAAAATTAATTCCAGCTAAAATAAAGTTATATCACTTAGACCAAGCCCCTTAATAACTTTTTATATCTAACAATCAATCTATGGCAGTTATTTTAATCAAGCTGGTGTTGCACAAAAATATTATCTTTAAGACTGGATTGCCTGGTTGTCAACTGTTTCTTCTTGATGATTGAATTTCAAATGTTTATGGACAATTTGTGTTGATTACATAGCCTGGAATCTGATAGAATATTATATTATTATTTTAATAAACAGAAAAAAACATCTGTCATCTGCTCTATCATGCAGCCCACTCTTGTTACTGACTGTGATATAATTTGGCTGCTCAGGATAAAAAACAACAACATATTTTGGGGGTAACAACTCGATAAATAAAGGCATTTCAGATATTTCTACTTGTCTGGGTTAATTGTACATAACAAGGGTGCACAACTTATTCCATGCATTGTGATTTCATTGAAACCATATAATGTAAACTAGTGTACTTAGTGTTATTCAGTATTCATATTCCCACACTAATTCATAATATATAAATAAAATATAATATTTTCCCATTTACTTTCTGCAGAGGGTATTTCACCCTAATTTTACATTTTAAAACTTTTATATTATGAATGGAAGGACACAGAATTTTGAGAATCATTTGGAATGATGGAGCAAATTTACTAACTACAGTACATTTACCCTTTCTTGTTTCTGTGTATCCTTGTTTTCTAATTGAGAGTTAATTAAAACTCAGTTTTAATTAATTTTGAAATAAACATGCTATTACTTTATGTGGAGTTTATACATAAGAATTCATACTTACAGAAAAAAGTAAAATGTGCCCTTGTCATTTTCAGCACATGTCATTGCAATGGTTATACTCTCTATATCTCTGTATCTACCTATGCCAGAAACATGTATACTAATTATAAGTGTGTTTTTTTTGCCCCATTCAGTAAGAACATATAAACTATTACTATCTTTGTTGGAACAGAAAGGACATCATCTACAAATCATTATTTGATTATGTCTGAATAAGGCAATAATGTCAGTTGACAGAAACTACTTTAAAAAACAATTCTGACATCATCAGTCAAATTTGTACATTAATTAGATTTTGAGTGATCTGTTTTTTTTCAGGTTTGTACAATTTTACTCAGACTGACAGAAAGCAAAAATCAGTGATAGTAATTTTAATGGCATACAAGTGAAAAATAACAGAGTGAAATATTAGATATTATATTTTATAGTTGGATATATTATTCTTATTATAAAGAATAACTACATGATTCATTTTTCACACCATTATCTGTAGTTTATATACAGAGGTGGGTCAAAGGTCACTGTACACTGATCAAAGTACATTAGACTTTGATAACATTTCTGTTCATCTCACAGTGCTCTCATATGCTAGAATCTCACCAATTTTAACAAATTTGTTACATAATATATATATGACAAAGGCCTACCAATTCAGTGTTGTTACCATGACAACAGTCCCATATAAAAGTAAATCAGATACACAACATTTGATCATGTTGTAAATGACCTGAAAGTGAATGAAATAAAGACAAAATTACCATGAAACCGATATGCTATACTTACATGTATGAATAGGTGAAACAAACTTCTGTTGCAATAATTAAACAATTTGTTTTTGAACTTCTTTTTTAGCTCAATGTTGAAAGGTTGATCTTTCAGAGGAGGAACATTGCATTTTATATACCTTTACTCTCAGTCTCTCTATACCTCTTGTGTAGATTAATGCGATCCTGAACTGCCTATATGTATACTGTCACTCAAATAAACCTCATAGTATTTACCGGTATATATCATGTATATAAATTGTAACAATATCCTAACTTACAATGAATGCAGTAAGACAGTGGAGTATATGCATCATCACTTTATTCTTTGCAGTGTTAGCTCACCCCATCTTGGTGTTAAAATTGGGGAGAAACAAACCGGTGGTTCAAGAGATAAAGCAGCATTGGACAGACTCTTTCTCAGGTGAGTTCAACTATTAAGAGAACTGCTATTTACATGTATTGTGAGTAACAAACTTGCACAATCCTATTTAATCCTCACAAAAGTAGTCCGAAACAGAGACTTATGTTTTGCTTACAATCCATACATCCAATGTCATTTCTTGGAATTGTATAAAGACATAAAATAATAGCATACATATGCACGTTGATCTGTTTTTTATTTGGTTTGGTTTTGGCTAGCCTTAGTTCTAACTATAAAAGTACTGATGTGGCTACTTTATTGCAAATCATGTATGGATCCTTGCAAAATTAATCAAAATTAAATTGTTTTATTGTTAATTCTGCCTTGGTACCTACAAATATTTTCTCCTTATATTTTTTTTTTCCCAGTCGCATGTGGAGAATTCTTAAAGTCTTAATACCAGGATGGTTCACTTTGGAGGTAAGTTGTTCTGAATGGTCATTCTGAGATCTTATTTCTGTCTTCTTTTATATCTTGTTATACTCTTCTCATCTATTTTGTTTTGTAGACTGGTTATGTTATACTAATAGCTATTATGTTAATAGCTAGAACCTACTGTGATGTCTGGATGATATCCAATGGTACTGCTATAGAAAGTGCTATTATTGGACGAGATGTCAAATTATTCAGATATTACCTATTTAAGTTCATCTATGCAATGCCAGCAGTAAGTATTTCTTCTCTCTTTAACTAGTTGCACCTCAGATTTATGAAATTAATGATACCCCAACTTCTTATAAATGTGGCCACTTGTAAATGTGGACATCTCAACTTCCTATATAGATCAGGTCACCTCAACTCCTTATAAACTCAATATAATTGTGGACTCCAACTTTTTATAAATGTGGCCATCTCAACTTCCTGTAAATGTGTATTACACCACATCTTTCAGTGAATCTGGACACCTTAACTTTATGCATGTGAAGGCCTAAACTCTCAGTAAGTGTCTACTACACCTCAACTCCCTGTTAATGTATGCCATCCAAATTTTTGTGCATAAATGTGGACACCTTAACACACTGTAATTATTGACATCCCAATCAATTTCCCCATGCCCAGTAAATTGTGTCATTCCGGTG